CGTGTACAGAGTGCTGTTCAGAAGCACTTTAACGGTTCCTAAATGGATGCAGTATAAATAAGTTATCTCTGATCTATCCGTTATGACAGATTGCTATCTGTCACAGCTACGGGTGCTTCAAAAATGTTTCAAAAGAAGTGCTTCAGACCTCACACAAGCACTAGCTTAGTTCCTCTCTGCCACTTGTGCAAGCAGGTTCTTTTTTTTCACGCTTCCATGGGAACCTGGAAAAATATGCAACTTAAGTTTAATGAGCCAACTCCTTAAATCAGCATCGCCTTTTTTCAGGTACTTCTAATTAATAGCAGAAAAGCTATGCTCAGTGTCTGAACATTTATTATGAATCATTTTTCAAAGCATGTTTTACATTGCTTTAAATGTTAAATGCTACCTACTCCAGAATAGCTAAAAAAGGAGTACAAAATTAAGGTTCTATCATTTCCAGCACATCCTCTTACTTGTTTTTTGCTAATATTGGCAGTGTTAAAATGCTGAGTTTAAGCTGGCCCTAATTCAATAAAGAGTTAATGGATTTTACATATTTCTATGAAGCATGACATATACATTTACATATATTTTAATATTTTTAAAATGTTGTGCTCTTGTTTTTATTATCTGTACTGGTCACAAAAAATCATGGGCTTGAAAAGAAGTTATAGCAGGAAAATGAAAGACAAATTTATGATTTATTTTATATTTAGAATCATATATCTATTATATATATCCAGAGGTAGGAAATATTTTATGTAAGTGCCTACCTGCAATAAATAGATAGACAGATTGACAGATAGATAGGAGGAAAGGCATACAGCACATAAGGAGGATCCAATTTGACAGAGAGAGGATGACCGATGGTAAGTGAATGATCAAATGCACACCTCAGTGGAGTGTGCATTCATGAGGTTCCACGTAGCTTCATATTTTAGCGTTCCAGTCTTGTAGCTGCCCTTCTTTAGGTGCATCATTTGATTTTCCCATGTACATCCTCCAGTGCTGACTCTCTTTCTCTCCCACAATAGTTCCATTCAGACAATTCACTTTATAAGCTCCATAGGGAACAGGGGAGAGGATCTTTTTTATGTATATAAATCTAGCTAGCTAGCTGTATTTGCAAAACTATTTTATTGAAACTTTTAAAAGATTGAACTCATAGGTCTTTTACAGTGCAATCCTATAAGCATCTACTGAGAAGGAAACCCAATGAGTTCATTTATTCCTATGCAAGTGGTTCATTTATTCCTATGCAATTCCCACAGGAGATTCATTTAATATAGTAGGATTTATTTCTGAGTAGGGATGCACAAGACTGCATTATTATATTTCACAAACACAGTTCTTTCAGATTAAACACAAAATATTTAGCCTTCAATCTTGGATATATATGAGTCCAACTGAATGTGATAGAAGTTACTTCTCAGTAAATATGTTAGATTTATTTATCTTTATTTATCTACTTTATTTTTTACTACTTTATTTATCTTTCTTTCCATTCTTTAGCCATCTTTTTGCTAAGTGGACTTCCATTATATTCAACATTGAAATAGGCAAAGGGGAAAAATTATTCTTGAAATCTCAGAGTTTCAATGGTAATCAATGCAAATATTTTCTAGTGCAATGTATTTTACTCAATATAAGTATTTTGAAAATATGCTGTCAATATCTAACAAAATATTCATGAGGAAACACTTTAAAATATTTATTAATGAGTATGGATACGGCACTAAAGTTCTCATACTAAATGTTGTTCTTCCACATTTCCCAGAACATGAGCTCTCATACTTGTAAAGTAGAATATTTTTTCATAGGAAATGGAATATCATGATCCATCATGAAAGCAAATTGTTCAGGTTGATGGAACCCAACCAAAATGTTTCTATAATATATGTTCAAAGCCTCCTCATTTCATAATCTGAGGATTAAAAATAGGAGATCAGTTCATTTGGAAACTCAGGGTCCTGCAAAATATCAGACTGTTGCTGTTACCAAGTTACTCATTTCGTTAAGAAAAGCTCTCTTTTGTCTTTCATTTCAAGTTCAATACTTAAAACTTCCCTAAATTTCATAGTAACTTCTATATAGGAACAGGACATTTTAATAATGGCAAAAAAGTAATAAAATATGAATCTTGTCATCATGTCCATTATTATATATTATGTGGGAAAGGAGAAAGATCCTGAAGAAAATATTTTCTCAATCATCAGCTGAAGAGTTCATGTCTCTTCAACAAAGCACCTTCATAAAAAATAAAAAAAAAAAAAGATGGGGAACCCTATAAAATTAAATGCCAGTATTTAAAAATATCAAGCCAAAAATATTTACTGAAAATCCCAGTGAAACCAATTCCTAAATGTAAGCATAATAGTGTTTAAGCATAATAGTGTTTTTTATAGTTTTGCTTATTTTTCCACTCTTGCATTTTTCTTCCTAGGACTTCAATAAATAACTTGGTATATTATTATCTTAATATACCCATTTTAATACATGATTGCCTAATTGATGTAGTTTTGCGCACAATTTTCCTTTCAAAAATACATTTTGTACTACTATAAACAATTTGCATGTACAGTCTCATACATACAGAGTCTCATGGATATATTAAAAACTTGTATTGTAAAACTTTGAAACACTATGAATACTGAAAGGTTATGGTGTTCTGGGGTACATGTTGTTTCAGGAAGTATACATTCAATCATTTTTATTTAATGCAACTCGAACTAACTTCTCAACATCTGCAGTGCAAGTCTAACAGTTTAGTAGAATCTTTTCAATAAAATACACAATGCTCTCTGCCAATCTAAAAGGAACATTGCAGATGTTTATTTACAGATGTACCTGATTTTCATAAACTTCCTAACAGTATTCTTTTCGGAAGTCACACTAGGGGCTTAGTAGCCGAAGGTATTACATCTGAGAAACTAAGATGCATTGGCACAGACATGATGTCATCCTTGTTCCTTTGCAACCTGGCTTACAAATGCAATGCCACAAATCTTGAGTTGCCCTTTCATGGTCAAAGCACAGTACAGAACTTGCCAAGCACAACAGAGGCCAGGATGACCTGTCCACGTAGGAAACAATGCCACATTCTCTTTTATGTACCTCAAGACATACCGATGGATATGAAAGGCAAACCAAGTGCAGCACAAAGAGACCTGAGAAGAACCTGATTCTTTCCCTTTTAACAGCAGCATGGCCCTGTGAGATGCATCTGTTGGCAGATGTCACATGTACCGGTTTCATTCTTCTGTTAGCTATACCGTACACTGGAGGGGGGTCCTGAAATCAGCAGGCGTTGCATAGCTTTGTGGCATTTAGAATCTATTGCTGGTTTTTGTGAACTACTGATGTGGGGCATGGCTTAAGATTACACTGGAGAATAGCAAATTAGCACTTAGAGAGATGTACCCAAGTTACATTATGCAGAAATAGAGAGATGCACAGACGCTGCTTTTGAAGTTTGAACTCTGCAGGCAGGAAACTGGGGAACAGACTTATCAGGGATATTCAGAATGAATGAATGAGTCTCTTAAGAGATGACCAACAATGTGTGCTTTAACAGGGCCAATCCTTTTAGGGAAGAGAAACTGTTGTGTCAGAATAGCTTGACAGTGGAACCAGTTACTGAAGGAGGTAGTGGATAGGCTCAAACAGCTTTAAATTGGGCTTCTGCACTAATCGAGGGGTTGGACTCAACATCTAAATTCTATGATGTGCAAGGAAAGTCTGGAAGCCACATAAGGATGAGGTAGAGGTTGCTTCAGCTTTCAAAAATCATGATAATTTTTGAATTTTTTGATGACTGCTTGCAAACCCTAAAAAGTCATTGTTATCGTTCCTGAGATTCCTGGGATCACAATTTGTTTATTAAATTCAGTGAAACACAATTCCATGTTTAGAACACAACCTGTTTGCTCACTGCATAAATGAAGTAGATGGGTAAGCCCTCAGTAAGTAGGGCCTTAGGCGGTGCATTTCAAGCTACAGTAATCCTGTCACTTGGTCCTTGAGGAAAGTGTTTCCAAGGCTAACCTGAACCAGTGACTTCTTTCTCTTCTCTGTTAGTATGATATATCACCCCCCCCCCCAAAAAAGTCCACATTTTGAATCAGGCGTTGCCTTGCCAATTAATTCCTCTGATTCCACTGATAAGTCACAGTACAGGTTAGCCACCAACGGATGGGCGTCGAAAGCAATTTTATTAAATTATGCCGCTAGACTTGCATTAATGGGCAGGGACTCTTTTCCTTCTTACAGTTTATAGCTTTTTGCATGAAATACTGGACACACTGGCCCAGTCCATTTCAGTGTATACAAAGCATTCCTCTCAGTTAAAAAAGAGGAGGAGGAGTTAATTAATATGAAGGAGGAATGGAAATCTTCCACCACTACTTGCTGGTAATGCTAATCACAAACCCATGAAGTAAAAGGGGACTATGATGTGGGCCCAAGATCCCTGCCGTTATCAATGGTTACTTAGCATGGGAGTTGGAATCTGCTAGCAGTCAGGCTGACTGGTGACAGTTCTGCATCAATGCTCTGTAAGTTTCACTCATTATGAAGTGTAACCAGTTTTAACCTACTGCTCTATCTTGATGCCTACAACAGCTGCTGCAGGCAAAAACATAAGGCTTTGATAGAGAAAACAAACCAATCCATGTGGTATTTTTCTCTTTTATGCCTGTACCAGCTGATAAGTCACTATCAGCCTCAGTCCACATCACGGATTGCATCTCTTGAAATGATGCTCAGGTCAGAGGTGGCTACATTATGGTCAAGGCTGTAATTTTCCCAGTGTAATATGAAATTAAGAGATACAAAACTGAGAAACAATTCCATCTATGTATACTAAATTAAGTCATATCAAATTACTATAAGCCTTTAGGAAACAGGGAGAAAACTGGAGATTAAAAGCAGAGAACCTGTGCTACTCCCAAACCTATGTAACAATGGAACCAATAAAATTATATTTATTAGATAAATAATGGGGAAACAAGTTTTACCTTCATTTCCTTCTCCAGGTGGATGATAAAATGAGAGCCCAAGAGATATAATGGCTGCGATTTCCAAGATGATGAGAGTCACATCCTGCAATGCTTCCCAGACTAACTGTATGAAAGTTTTTGGCTTCTTTGGAGGTATAAAGTTTTGCCCAAAAATTAGCCTTCTTTTATCTAGGTCAGCAGTAGTGCCAGGTAATCCTACAAATCAAGGAAACATTAATGGTGAGTGACAAGTCTGTTAACATTTGTATTAACTACATTTTAAAACACAACCATTTTTGCTTTCCTCACTTAGCATTTATGGCTCATTAGACTTCCAATTTTGTAATTCTCTTTTGGCAAACTCATCCTCAGCTAATGTATCACAGAGACTTATATGTATTCGTAAAGGCCTTTTAGAAATACATTTCTTCTCTAGCTTTTCCATTAGGCAATCCTCTTTTACAGAGAATCATAAAAAGCACCGGCAAACAATCTAAATAGTGTTTATACGGAATACCAAAAAGAGGAAGCAAAACAAGAGATTAATGCAGCAAATAAATTTGCAAAATTTCAATTATATTAGCAAAGTAATGGCATAAAAATAATTCAGAAGTTCCGTTTCCATGTCTATCGTTTTATAACTAAGGAAAGAAAGCAATGGAAGATAATGTTGGGTGCTTAGGTTGCATTCAGTTATAACAGAATGCTTCTGCTTGGACAAGTTTTTTTTCCCCCCCTTTCTTCCACTGCTCCCAACTAAAGCAGTCTTCAGAGCCTTACTCAATACTGTTCCAGAACTCTCCTCAGTATTAAGGGAGTGCTTTGGGAGAAAGAAGCAATATACAGTGTGATGTGCATTCAGTATAAACCATTTACATGGGGTTGCTACTTGGATCTGCATAGTTTTAACTTCTGGTTTCTTTTGAAACTGTGTGGGAAGATAAACAAAATGTTTATAATTAAACATTATAATTCAAAAATTTTAATTAGAATTAATAATTCAAAATATTTTGAATGATTTAAACTATTCCTCACCAGCGTTGCATAGTATATTTGGTTTCATCGTGCTTTCGATATACAGTATAAGCCATGAGCTTCACTGAAGCAATGGACTTCAGTGTTGCTATGACATTCTCCCACACCCTCTCTCTCCTTTTCGTACAGAAACCAAAGACTTAATATAATTAATTGTTGTGTCATTTCCTCTGGCTACTGGACAGTTTATTGCACAGTGCATTAAAAAACCAATCAGGAGACAAGGTGTTGATCCTACAAGGAAATGTTATTATAAACAGTTCCAGAGAAATATATTGGGGTAAGACAAACAGAATTATTTCAGGTGATGTATGCTGTATGTTTTAGGGGTGAGCATCTCCAAAATGGAAAAAAAAAACACAGGAGCCGCTGCCAGTAAGTACAACTTCTTTAAAGAACTTCGAGAAAGTGATTTGAAAGTGATGCTTATGGATCTCTTCCAACTGAAGTATCAATTAGGAATGTGTCTGTCCTTCAAAAGACGTCATTTGGAAGGCACGGGATATTATTTTTCCCAGCAAAGGGAGGTCTTTGTGCTTGCACACATCTGGACATAGTCAGAAGCAGCTTGCAATGAGAGTTAGAAAAAATATACATCTTCTTTAATGGTTTGACATTTCTGCACATACTGAAGCACTTTTTTCAAAGGATTTACACAGCCCAAAGATCAACACTGAGTTAAAACCATTGCTGTGAAAACAGACTACAAGGATGCTATCTATTGCACAGGAATGCCTTGAGTTCACAATATTTCCAAATTAACACTGTAAAGATAGTGCTGAGAAAAATTCACAGATATATGATAAAAAGATGTGACTGAACAATTAAATGAAAAAAGCTAGCAATGGAGTAACAATTCCAAAACATAAAGAATACATTGTAATGCATATGGAACTGCTAAATGGATTAACTTAATTTAAGTTCATTCTAGGGTAACACAAGGCAACACAGTGTTTACGATCATCACTGTGCTCCTAGATAATTTCCTTGAGAACCACTGTCCCAAGAAGTATCCATGCTGCAAGGCACCAATCTCTGGCACCATCTTTGTGTACAACAATGGCTCTGGGCCCTCCAGGTTTCTAACAACAGTCTTACAAAATAAAAATGGTGGATGGCTGCTGCTTAGTGTGCAGGAAAATAAGGCAAAGGTAAGCCACCTAAAATGAATGTCTTTTTTTCCCCCTAAGGATCAGATTACCACATCATTTGAAAATTATTACTTTTCAAAATGTATTCCCATTCAAGGCTATTTTGCAGTATGGTATATGTGCACATTTGTAGAAACTTCCAATGCAATACCAGTTTATTGCAGCAAAAACCAACAGTCTTGGATTTAGTCAAAATAATTGTCTATACCCAGCTAAGTTTCTGTTTTAATTCATTTTTATTTTATTTTATTTCTCAGAATAATTACATCTAGAATTCCTTTGTTCCTTTGTGCTAAAGGTAAGACTATAGGTTTTGTTTGCAACAAACTATACTTTCTTCAATAAATAACTTGTGTGAAGGATATGGAGTCCCTTCCACACATCACATGAACTGAATGCATATGTCCCTATTTTCCTACATTGATTATTTCAATAATTTATTCATTAAATGACAAGAATCTGCTATCAACTGCAACATTTGGCACATAATTGCTTAGGAAAGCTTAAAATGTCCTTTTCCTTCTGGAAGCAATCATCTACCTGTTTTACTGAAAGTTAAAACACTTTTTGTTTGTCTAAAGGAAGTTTTAAAAGAATGATTCAGGTGAAAAAAAAAATGCTGCTAACTCCAAAAGTACCAAAAGCTCTGTCCAGTCATTCAGCTGAACATATGGAGAATTCAAATGGGCTAGAGAATGGGGTGCACATGCTGCCCATATTCCCCTTTTCTCCTTGACCTCAATTTATTCAGCTGGAACTCTGAAGGGGAGCTGTATTCATACCGTTTCAGTGTGAACAGACTTCCCCTCAAATGTCCAACTGAAGATATGTGTGTCAAGGAAAGTAGAGGAAGTGCCGGATGCAGACTCTATCCTCAACTTACTTTGAAACCTTTTCTCCATTCATCTGTACTCCTCAACAGAGCTCATATAAAATTAAATTCAGGCATGAACAAGGTGAGACGTGTTCATGATAATAAAGACTGGGATGACCCACAAGTATCACCCACTAGTCACTGCACAGAACATTCTTCCCAGCCTCCCACCTGAGCTCTAAGGGATCCCTACCCTTTTAGCCTTTTGAAAGGCTGTGAAGACCTGGCTCTTCCCCCAAGAATTGGGCTAGGATGGGGGTTGAGCTGTGAGGATGATTGGTCTGACGCCTGGGGGAAAGGCACTTTTGTTTTTAACTGTTTTTTATGGATTCTTATGAGCCACCTAGAGTCATCATAGGCAGCCATATAAGTCCTGTAAATAAATAAATAAAGCTGGGCACACACCACTTATGCTCCATTTACAATGGCCAGAATTCCACCCCCACCCCACCCCCGCCCTTGGTTTTTGACCATGCTGAATGGGAATTCTACAACTTGTAGTCTTAATACACATATTTTGAACACACTAGATTATTAAATAATGAACAAGTATTGGGTTGGGAGAGATGCACACTTAAATGGCAGTACACAGCATAACAGAGATGATAACCAGTTGCATTATTTTGGGTTATGAGTACATAATTCTGACTGAATAAAGGAATTCCTACTTTACAAGTAAAACAAAAAACAAAATATCTGACATAAACAAAGGTTGACCAAAGGCTAGTTAAGATACACTTTATTGATGGTAATACATTTCTTCAAGTTCATACATTTTTAAATTAATACTACCTAGTTGCCATAATTTCATGTGGTTAAGATCCAGAACTACTTAAACCAAAGGGTCTGGCACAAAGCCTGGTTTGGCTTTATTGCAATTCTAAATATATTTCCTGAAAGGAAAGCTTAGTTGAATACAGTGAAATTAAGGTTTGAATAAACATGTTTAAAATTGTATTACCATCCTATTGTTCGGAAATACGTCACAACTACAAGGCAGCAACAATCATCTATCCAACTCAGTCATCTTTCTTTGGAGTTCCACTGCATTACGGTAACTCATGATACTGCATAATATTGGCTGTATCTAAGCAGTTTTTTTACAGCTTTCTAATACATTTTGTTCAACGTTTATTAGTCTCTGATAGACTCCTTCCTATTCATTTATCTCCTCTCTTCTTTTTCCTCCTTCATGTGTCTTAGCATTCTCTTTCTCTTGAGTTTTAATAAGAAAATATGTAACTATATATTTACAAAATTTTAAAAAATGTAGGTGCAATGAAGCATTCTGTTTATTAATATCCCTAAAGGAAAGGATATAGTAACGGAGGTTCTTAACCAGAGCTACCATTATTCATTTATGGACGAAATGTCATGGAAGGGTTCTTTTTTAATCAGTACAGTCTTCTAAGCTTGACTTTGCATCAT